TTTTCTTCCCCTTCTTTTTGAGAGAGCCAGGCCAGGGGTGGCCCCGGAATTCCAGGAAGGCGGCGGCGTTGTGGCAGATGTAGTAGGCGTTGAGCATGGCAGCTGGGCTGAAGACATCCACTTGGATCACAGGCTTCTTTACGCCCTTTTTGGAACTTTTGCTTTTGCCACCCTTGGGTTTTTTGGCTTTGCGTGCCTGCAGAGAGAAAATGACCACAAACCCACTCAGTTCTGGGTCTTTGCTGTCTCATTTTTGGGTAGAGGATGCCAGGCTGAGAGACTGAGAGAGCTGGGAATGTTCTCCTGGAGAGGAGAAGGATGCAGGGAGAGCTTCCAGCACATTCCAGGCCTGCAGGGGCTCCAGGAGAGCTGCAGAGGGACTGGGGACAAGGGACAGGAGCCAGGGAATGGCTGCCAGTGCCAGAGGGCAGCCATGGATGGGATGTTGGCCATGAGGAATTGCTGGCTGGGCTGGAATTGCCAGAGCAGCTGGGGCTGCCCCTGATCCCTGCAGTGCCCAGGGCCAGGCTGGACACTGGGGCTGGAGCAGCCTGGGATGGTGGGGTTGGGATGGGATGGGATTGAAGGCCCCTTCCCAGCCAAACTGCTCTGGGATTTGGGACACTCAGAATCCATCCCGAGGCATTTTTATGGAAGTTGGGGATGGAAAAGGGAAGGGAGACCCTTCCTGGAGTCCTGAGATTCCCAGTGAAACCCCTGGATCCCAAAATTCCATTCTAGAGTGGAATTGGGATGGGGATGGATCCAATCCCAGGCTGGGAGAGGTGCTGATCCATTCCTGTGTGCCAGCTGGGACCTTAACCCAGGGAAGCAGGGCTCCCTCTCCAGCTTCCACGGGTCTGGGATGGAGCTGCTCTCCCACCACTGCTGCTTTCAAAGCCCAACCCACGCAGGTAACGCGTTTTCCACGTTATAATTTCTAAAAAAGTCCCTTCACAGCTCAGCACTTCTCAGTGCAAAAGAGACAAACATTTGTGCTCTGAGGTAAAGGGCACAATCCTCACAATCAGCTGGAACCAAGATGTGAAATAATATGAATAGGTAAAGAAAAATTTTTAAAAATAACCAAATTTTCTATCTAAAACGCACAGGCCCTCTATTGCAGAAGCAAAAAAGAGATAAAATAAGAATGTAAACTGCAGCTGCTGGCAGATAATTTGCAGAATGAAACTGCTTGAGCTCAGACATATGTTTGAGATGGCACAAGCCTCTTTCACAGACCTTATCTGGACAGAACTTGTGGAATATTCACATGCTGGAACGTGCCCCCTTCACAGGGACATGCTTGTGCCAGATTTTGCAGCCAGCCAGGGGCCTGAGTCCCATTCCTTGTTTGCCCAGGGTCTCTGGTGGATTTTGTGAGCACTTATAGGCTCCTGGTGGGAATTCAGCCTGTAGCTGATATTTCCAGATATAAAAGATGCTCACAGGCTTTAGTTGCTGTGTACAAAATTTTACAGCCTGCAGCCAAGAACAAAAAAATAGCTAAAAATCAGAATTAGGTTTATACTTGCACCCAAAGTGAATTTGGGCAGTTCTGTCCTGCAGCTGGGAAGGAACCTTTTGGATATTAACCCTTTTCCTTAAAAAGGCGTTATCAGCATTTCTGAAGGACATAAGGTGTTTTACCATGGCTGAGTCTTTTTATGGAGCAACCAGAAACTCACATCAAGCCCTCTAGATGGACCCTGAAAAACAAAATGATGTGGTTAGTTACACAGTCTGTGTCGATCCTCATGAAATTTGAAGAGAAAAAGGGAAAAACCGGCACCTTGCAAAACCAGGGTCACCCCTGAAAGCTGATACTCACCTGTGAAATCAGCTGCTAATTGTTAAATTTACAACCACAGAGTCCTGGACGAGAGCTCCGAGAGCAAGGCCAGCCGTGCCCCAGCACCGCCAGGGCCACCACTGACCCCAGGTGTCCCCAGGTGTCCCCAGGTGTCCCCAGGTGCCACATCCACGGGGCTTTGCAGCCCCTCCAGGGATGGGGACTGCCTCCAGCCCTGCAGCTCTGCGAGGGCTGGGCAACTCTTCTAGGGAAGGAATTTTCAGGATATCCAGCCTAAAGCCCTGGCACAGCTTGAGGCTGTTTCCTCTTGTTCTGTCCCTGTTCCCGGCCCCCTCTAGGCTGCGCCCTCCTCTCAGGGGGTTGTAGCGAGGAGCAGCTCCCTCCTGAACCTCCTTTTCTCCCCCAGGGCCAGCTCCCTCCGTGTGGAAAAGGCGGAATCTCACCTTCCTGTCCCCGCATCCCGGCGGCTCTGAAGAGACCCCGGCCCCTTTACCCACCCACGGCCGCCATGGCCGCCCCGCCCTCCCCTCAGCGTCGCGTTGTCATAGCGACCGGGGGCGGGCTCTGGTGCTGATTGACAGCGCGGCGTCCAATCCGCTGCTGAGGCACCCGCCCATCGCCCAATCAGCTGCCGGGCGGCTCTTCCCGCCGCTGCGGTGGTGACGGGGAAAAGGGCGGGAAAATCTGTGAGGGGAGCGGCCGCCGCCATCTCACCCGGCCTGTGCCACCCACAGCCAAACCCCCAGAAATGGCACCAGGAGGCCGGAAAACCCCCAGCACCACAACACTGACCTGACAGGAGGAGGGGAGCAAGCCGTGCTTTCCAAAAGTCTTGGAAAGATTGGCGTTTGGTGGACTGGTAGTGGAGTATTCACATTATTGTTGTGTGACATGGGGGAGTCTGTTTAAAAACCTGACTCAGCCTCCTTCACCATAAAAATATTTTAAAAATAAACTCTGCTTTGCCTCCTTGCAGAGCCACAGCTCCAGACAGCAGTCTCTGAAAATGATGTGTAATCAAGGCTGGATCTTTGTAATATTTAAAAAATAAACTCTGCTTTGCCTCCTTGCAGAGCCACAGCTCCAGACAGCAGTCTCTGAAAATGATGTGTAATCAAGGCTGGATCTTTGTAATAAATCCCCATAACCGAGGCCTGAAACACAAGGATTCAATAGAGGTGAAGGGGGCTGAGGGAGGGATAGGGACACAAAGGGTTCATTTTGTTCTCTGCACCTTTTTTAGACACAAAAATTTTATCCAAGGGTAGGAATGCTACTAAAGGTGGGGTGGTTTTTAAATTTGGGAAAAAATATGAGAGGAGTCTGTCCTGCATACCTCGGCACCAGATTTTCACTTGCAAAACACTAAAAAAATAGGCACAAGTGAAAAATATCAGTAAGAGCTGAATTCCCTCATAGAAAAAAAAAAAAAAGCTTATAATTGCAGTATTGCCAAACTCCAAGAAACACATCAGCAAGTCTGCCTAGATCATGGGTTTATTTTTACCTTTAACACTGACCTCTCTAAATGTGCTCTCTGGTACATAAGTAAATTTCCTTCCTTCTTGCCCAATAAAAAGACTTGGTAGTGTAACTCAGGGAAAAAGTCTGCAGATTTGGGAGTAAAATTCACTTGAATGAGCCTTAGATAATGAAAGCAAAAATGAAAAAAAATACTGCTTTCCACTCTGTTCATGGAAATTCTGTGTCATCTGTATTAATAAACCACACAGCATAAAAGAAACAATCATAATTACACTAATTATCTCATTTCAGCACAGACAACTGTCAGGAGGCCACATTATAATTATTGAGGAAAAAGGAAGGCACAGAGCACTGAAATGTTCAATCAAGGAGACAAAAATCAGTCAAATGTTGTGTTTTGTGGCAGAGCTTGGACCTGGCTGCAGAACAAGCTGCTGTTTACACATGCAAGGCTTTGATAAATAATTAAGGGAAGCTTCTCAAGCTCCAGAGTATAATAAGCCTGACCTCATACAGTCACTTCTGTGGTTACAAGTGGATAAATACAGAGTCAGCCAGGACATCTCAGTGCTGTTATTTTTAGGGAGATATTCACAGGAGAAAAAGGAGGGATTTTTTTTTAACATTGCCAAACTCAATGGATAAAGGCTAATAGGCTAATTCCCCCTTTTATATTTTTTATCACTCTCTCCTTTTCTCTTGTATCTTTGTAGCCTTTTATGCTTCACTGAAATTTGCATTAAATTCACCAAACTGCTCCAAAGTTGCTTAGAGAAATTAATAACTCAATTCTGTGTGCTTTATATCCCCAGGAAACAGCAAGAATCTACAAAAAAGCACAAGAATCTGTGCTGAGGTGCTGAAGAAAAGGCCTTACCCACAGCAGAACTTTCAGCAGCCGCCTGTAGGGTGAAAACAAAACAACAAAAATGTTCTTTATTGCAATTACAACTGGAGCTGGGATCACTGGAGGGTTCCTGGAACCAACAGTCCTGCTGGGGTGAGATAACAGATGTTCCTCCAGCTGTGCAGAAACCACCCAAAATTTCATTCTGAAACTGCCTTGTTGAACAAATTAAATGATTATTCCTTAATTGCTGGCCCCCAGCTCTTCTGAGAATTTTTAATCAGGGGGAAATCCTCATTGTGGAGCAAAAAAAAAAAAAAATTGAAACTGCTGCTTGCTTGCCAGGATGGGACATAAATATTTCAGATAAAGGTGTAGCCTCTCTCTAAGTCACTTTTTTATGCAGAGGTTTAGGTTTTCTGTGGAGATCTCTCTCTGGGAAACAGAAAATTTGGTGGTGATGGTGTGAATACATTGTAATCCAGGCTAAGTTTGTACCATCCTCCACCACAGATATTCAGGTGAGAATTTGTGCTTCTGATGTCTCTCAGTAAAAATAACAGGCACTGAAAAGCACAATTTAAATATAAAGCACAGAAAAATGCACATTGGGTATGCACTGGTTTTGTGGTTTTTTCAATATATTGTGGGGGAAAAAACACTTTGGGGGGGAAAAAAAGGTTTGAGCCAAATACCAAGAGCTTTTCTAAGTTTTTTAGTAATTCATTCAATTTCCCCTTGAGTGGAGATGGGCCAGGGTGAGGGCTGAGTGTGGGGGATGTTTTTATCCTTAAAAAATAATAAAAAAGAAGCATTTAAATTAAGACACGGGAAGAAAAAGTTTAAATAAAGATGTGCCCTTTAAAATTTGGTTTATTTCGAACAAAAGCATATTTTAAAAGGCTTTAAAAGTCTTAATGCCATTTCCATGAACAAGGCCTTGGACAAACCCCATGAAGGTAACATTCCCAGGCTAATTAATTATTTAAGCAATTAGCACAAATCCTGCCATAACAAACACTTGTTTATTCAGGGCTTCCCTGCCCTATATGAGCACACAAATGCCACCCTCATGCAATGCAGCTTTACCCAAGTGTAGTGTTCATTATTTAATTTAAGTATTAAGTTATTAAATGGACAGAAAGTTTACAGCTCCATATCCCATTCATTCTGAAAGTTATGGACCACAGAATCCACTCTTTTCCTCATAAATTGTTCACCAAAGCACCTTCCCTCCCCGCCCTAAGACCTGGCACAGACAATCCCCCAAAATCTGTGTAAAATTTGGGTTTTTAAGTGGTGTTTGCCATCCCCTCAGGGCTGGAAGGGCTGAAGAGGATGTGGAATGAGGGAGGAGAGAAAAGGGATCTGCAGGCTGCTGGAAACTGCACAGTTCAGTAAAGGTGACTGAAGGTGGGGGAAAGCAGAGGTGCCAGGGTGGCACGGGGGGTGTCCAGGGGACAGGCAGGACCTGTCCCTGCTGGCACCAGGACTCTGAGCCAGCCTGTGCCACCCCAGCAGCAGCAGCAGACAGGGACAACACGCTGTCTCCATCCCAAGCCAGCCCGAACCCAACCGAGGGAGGGATGGAATTCCCAGCTGGGAATCCTTCCCCCCAGCCCACACTGGGCTCTGAGCTCACTCTGCCACCCGGTCTCCAAGAAGTCACAGCAGGACCTCCAAAAAGAGGTGTCTGCTGGGCACAGAGAGACCTGGTCTCTCTGGAAAGTTTAATTTTGTTTTCCCAGCTGTGCTCAAACCCCCCCGACCCAGCCCATCCCTCGGGGCCGCAGTCACTGGCAGTGCAGCAGCTCTTCCCAGCGAATGGGCTGCGAAAACACCTCCCGCTCCAGCCACAGCTCGTAGGAGTAGTGGAAGTCCTCGGGCAGCTCCAGGCGCTGGCCCAGCACGCTCTGCAGGCAGTTGTCCACCGGGGCGAACTCCGAGTCCTGCGGCTTGTCGTACCTGCGGCTGTTGAAGGCTTCGATGTTGGCCCTCAGCGTGCATTCCTCAGCCTGGAAATCCCACGGCCTGGCGTCGATGTCTGCAGGGGAGGAGGAGCAACACCCAGATAGTGTGGGAAGCGCCGCTCTGACCAGGTTTGAGCAAAAGAAAGGCTGGAGGTTTCATGTGAATTAACCAGAGCCACTCCTAATTATTATAATTCCTAACCAAATCCCATTAGGTGTGTGTTTCCGTTTAAGACATCCCATAAAAATGTCATTACTCCTGCATTAAGGATTATTTAAGATATCCCATAAAAATGTAATTATTCCTGCGTTAAGGACTCTCTATAATTACCCAGCCATGCTTTTTTCACAAAAATCCCATCACTTTTACTGAAAATCTCTGCTGACCACTGGAGCCGGGATCGAGATTTAAAACATTTAAAACCTGATGAGCTCATTATGAGCTCCTAACCACAAATATTTTAAAATTTGGGCAAAGATAACTATGAATGATAATAACCGATAATAATCTGCAATAACCGTGACATTACATCATATTATATAAACTGATAATATTAAAAGTATCCCAGTATTTTCACGAGCTCTAAATCTGATGGGGCAGAACGGCGCTGTGGAACTTCTGGGAGAAATCCCCAGGAGTGACAGCAGTTTTAGAGCACTGAGGCCAGGTGAAGCAGCCTGCAGAGCCAGGTGAGGCAGCCTGCAGAGCCAGGTGAGGCAGCCTGCACAGCCAGGTGAGGCAGCCTGCAGAGCCAGGTGAGGCACCTTGCAAAGGCAGGCGAGGCACCTTGCACAGCCAGGTGAGGCAGCCTGCAAAGAGCCTGCAGAGCCAGGCGAGGCAGCCTGCAAAGGCAGGCGAGGCAGCCTGCACAGCCAGGTGAGGCAGCCTGCACAGCCAGGTGAGGCACCTTGCAAAGGCAGGTGCCTGCAGGGCAGGACTCACCGTTGCCGTAGGCCCAGTCGTCGTTCATGCGGTGCCGCACCTTCTGGTAGATGGCAGACATGGTCTTCATGTTGCTCTTCCTCCACTGGCGGCCCAGGTACTTGGTCTGGATCTTCAGCAGCTTGAGCACGTAGAGCTGCATCATGGCCTGCTTCACCTTCAGAGCCCGCTTCAGGATGGGGGCGGATTTAAACACCACCAGCATCTGCCAGGAAATCCACACCCGTCAGTGCAGAGTGCTTGGGGAGCCACACAAACACTGCCTGGGCTGGGGTGGGCACCAACACCCGGGCCTCGTACACCACAAACCCCCAGGAGGGAGAGCAGGAGCCTTCAGCACAACCAACACTCTCTGCACGGGCCTTGGGGGTCACAGAAATAATGTTGTTTGCAGGAAAAAAACTATTTCTGCATTTAAGGCTCAATGTGTGAAAGGAAAAAGGGAAGATGATGAGGAGCAGAAGCTCCAGCGCTTCCACAAGGAATGCTGAGCACCAGGCTGGGCTGAACCCACCATGTGGAGCCAGGGAGATGCTCCAGGTGAAACGCTGGAGGGTCCCAGGGGGAGGGGGCACCCCCTTACCATTGTCCTCGAGTGTTTCCACTTGGTCAGCTTGTTGAGGATCCTCAGCAAGTTAATGCAGGAGAACAAATTCCTCCAGCAGAACTGGTTGTTGTCTCCAGCTTCCTGCACGGGGAGAAGTGCAATCCTGACCACAGCATTCATCAGAGATGTCCTTAGGCAGAAATCTTTATTTTTATTGTCTGCACAAGCCTTATTTCTGAGGGAACACAAGCAGCAGAGCTTCCTCCTCACTTGGGTTATCATCAGCAGATTCTGGGGAAAACCATTCTGAAACACTCCAATCTTTAATCTGCTTTTAATTTAGAGTAAGAACTAATAATGGGATAAATCCCATTATTCCATCATGGGAAATATATTTTGTGGTAGGTTTGTATTCTTTGTTTTCAGCCAGGGAGAAAATTTCAGCCTGGTGATCACCACTGCTTTTGGTAACTGTATCAATTAATTCATGCTTAGAGCAGGCATTTCCAGTAAAAGGAAATCACAAATCAACTCAGGATGACAAATAGCAACATTTGTATCGAGAGGATGAGACCTCTCTGTAACAAAAATCCCCTCCAGCTGAAGTGCTGCTGAGACATTGTTTTAAATATTAGTAACTGTAAACACCCCCAGCTCCAGCTTGTGGAAATGCTGCCAGTGGCACTTTGAGGTTTAATTCCCCCACTGCAGTAACTTGCTCCGTGTTTGAACAACTCCAGGCACAGGAGAAATGTCCCACAAAAATCCTGTTTGGGGATTAGTGCAAAACAAGGGCTGCTGAATTTATAAACCACTCACAGCCAGCTACAGCCTTCTTAACTCGGGGCAAAAACTCAACCCATTCCAGGATTTGGGCACCGTTGGGAGGGGTTGGAAAGCAGATTACCCAAGAAAATCCCACCAGCACAACCCCTTGGCTTTTAAAGGCACGTGCCAGACAGAATCAGGAATCTCTGAGGTTGGAAAAGACCTCCAAGGCCATGAGTCCAAGCTGTGCCTGATTCCCCCCTTGTCCCCACCCCTGAGTGCCACATCCAGGGACACTCCAGGGATGGGCACTCCAAAGCTCCCTGGGCAGCCCCCGCCAATGCCCGAGAGGCAGCCAGCACTGGGATGCCACCACAATGTCACCAGGATGCCACTGGGCTGCTTGTGGATGCTGTCTGTGCTTTGGGGGTCCCAAACTGCGCTGTCCCTGCAGTGTCACATCGTGCCCAGGTCTAGCCTGGGCCCTCTGCACCACGTAAAATTCCCAAAGATGCCAGTGGAATAAGCCATATCCATTTCTTAGGCTGGTGGATTTGTTTGTCACCACTCTGATGACGTCGCTACAGATTCAAGGAGGGGAGGGTCTTTCCATCAGATTTATGGAAGGAGGGAACAGGCCACACAGGCTTTAATACCCCCTCTAAGGGGTGGGTTAAGCCCTTTGCAGACCCCTCTGGAGTGGCAGGAGAGGGGAGATGGGGACTGGCCAGGATTTGAATCCCCCAGCCACTCCTGATTTACACTGGGGGGAGACAGCAGTTACCCCACAGACCCCCTGGGAGACAGCAGAACTCATCCTGGTTCCCTTGGGAGAACCAAACGCACGTCACTGTGCTCACCCCACTGACAGCAGAATCATCTGTGACATCCTCTAAGAAATGTGCAATGCTGGAATGTTGAAATCACTCATCAGAGTGGTAAAAAAACCCCTAAAACAACGCATGAAGTGCTGGCTGAGAGAAATATAAATATGTGCACAAACTCATGCCTCGAGTACCAGGGTGTGTCTAATTCCTATTAAATCCTTACTTCACGTGTTCCCTCCCAAAGATGAACCCTCGTGGTAAAATTCAAGTTGATTTCTGCATGTTTTCTAATTAAATTGCTCTCCCTTGAGGATAACATCCACGTCTGCTGGAGGAAAGTGAAAAGTGCTGTCCTTGAATGCGACAGCTCTCAAATTGTCCAGACCCTACTGGAATATTTTCCCTAAAAAGGTTCAGTTCTCTCCTGCAGCCTCAAGGCAGATTGTGAGGATTGCACGAGCCATGCAACCCTCAGTGAAGCTCACTAGATGTCCCCATTGATCCAGGATACAAAGCAGTCTGGCAGGGCTGGATGGGGACACCCAGCAGCACCTTCAGCATCCTGTGGACCTGGGGAAAATCTTTCTCTCTGTTGATTTTGACCTTTATACACCTGAGAAAAACAGCACAGGCCTCAGGTTGCAGCAGCACCATGAGATCATCCCTGCCTGGACTGGATTTGCTCGGGATCCTTCTCAATGATTTAGGGTCTCCATTCCCTGTCCATTATTCCCTGTTAACTCCAAAGCCTTGCCCTGTCCAACCCCCTCTGCACGTGAATTACTGTATTTATGAACCTGCCAGCGTTATTTTCCCATCTGCAGTCTGTGTCTTTGCCCAGCCCATCCTCTGGCCACTCTCTGGAATACTTAGAGCTCCTCTCTGTGGGGAATTTGGTTCATTCCTGAAACTGGTATCTCACAGAAAGAGTGCTCAGAGCAACTGAAACCTGGGAGGCAACAGCCTCTGGGTAAATTTTCTTTCAAAGCACAACAGTCTTGTCTGGAAACAGCCTCAGACTGTGCCAGGGGAGGCTCAGGTTGGACATCAGGAAGAATTCCCTAGGGAAAATGGGGTCAGGCCTCGTCAGGGGCTGCCTAGGGAATTTTGGAGTCCCCATCCCTGGAGGAGTCCAAGGAATTCCTGGATGTGGCACTCAGGGCTCTGGGCTGGGGACAAGGTGGTGTTTGAGCAAAGATTGGACCTGATGATCCTGGAGGTCTTTTCCAACCACAACAATCTTGGAATCCTGTGATTCTATTCTGTCAAAGGGAAAACCCTAAACCCAGCTATTTCTATGGGGTGCCCAACAGCAGCAGTGCCTCTTCCCCACTTCCCCACAGCTGACAGTGACTCAGAATAGTGATGGGAGGGATTTTCAAGCCTGGAGGGGAAAAAAGTCTAATTTTGGAAAGGCTGGGGGCTACAGAAAAAGAAGACAGAGAACAGAAAACCCAAATCCTTCCTCATGCTGTCACAAAGAGCAATCCTGGCCACAAAAACCCTTCCTGTGCTGCTTACCAGACTTTCTGCTGTGAGCTCAGGCAAGTCACAGACCGTGCAGTGCGGATAATCCAGGACGGAGATGCTGCAGCAAACAGGAGAGAAGGGGCTCGTTAGCAGCCAATTAACGTGAGAGTAATTTCTAAGGTGATCTGTATGATCATGCCCAGGAACCTGTAACATTCTTCCTGCTCTGTGCCTGGAAATGCAAGAAGTGATCAGGGTGGGGAAAATCCCCTCTCCAGCAGGGGAAGCAGCCGCGCACAGACAGCTCCAAACGGGATCCCAGCCTCAGCTTAATGGAGCACATCGATGCCTCCTGGCTCCAGAGCTCCAGCCTGAGTGCATTAACAAGCACTCGAAGGATTTGGATCCATTAAGACAGGACAGATGAGTTATTCATGTGCATATTTAAAAAGGGGGGGAAAAGTAAACAAAATAGATCTGAGGTTCACAGGGAGGCATTTGTTTGGCAGCAAGAAAATTCATGGTGAGCGAATATTCAGAATATCAGTTTTGTCAAAGGCCTCCAGGCCTATGGAATTTATAAAAGCAGTCAATCAAATCCACCCAGAACTGGAATTTACACCTCCCTGGCTCAGAGTGCCCAGCTGCACATCCCACCCGACTCACAGGTGAATATCCTACCTGTGAAACCTCCACCTCAGAGCAGAGGAGGGAGCTGAGTGCTCCTGGCATACATTTCCTCCTCGCTTAAAGCACAGAACCAAAAATATTTACAGCAGGAGGATCAACATATTACTTCCTGTTTTTCTGTGTGCCTCCTCACACAGACACAACCATGCCGTGCAGGAGACAGACCAGCCTACGCACACAGCTGAAGAGCAACAAAAAGAGCATCAAAAGGGAAGAAAAAGGATCTTTTTATCATTCCAACATCCCTGGGGAGCTCCTCTCCAAGCAGAGAAACCCTGCCCTGGTGAGCTGTGAGAGATCTGTGCTGTCTCAGGTCTCTGATCCATGCTGGTCCAGCCAGTGCCATGCTCAAAACGGGGCAGGTGCCTCTCTCAGATCAGCAGTAAAAGGCAGTGACAGCTATGGAAAACCTGAAGGAGTCAGGAAAGCTGAATTACAGCTGTAAAAAGTGGGAAAGACCTGGAAGATCCTACCCCATGTGGCCTTGATGAAGCTGTGGCCCAGAGATGCTTGGTGGCACTGGATGGCTCCCCAGGAGCCCACGTGAAGATGAAAATTACTTTATTTTAAAGATTAAGCCTATTTTATTTTAGTACTATTTCAGCAGCCCAATCAGAGATTGGAAACCCAGCATCCACTCATCCTCATCATGCCAAAGGGATTTGCTCCCCCCACATATTTCTGTAGTGGACAGGACACCCCAAAGCCGTGTGAGGTCACCAGGGTCCCCCCAGGACACCAGGGCTCCCCAGCATGAAGGCTTCCTGCCCCACCACCTCTCTGTCCCCCAGCAGGGGCTGTACCTGTTTTTGGCAGTGATGTAAGACATGATGTTCTGGTTGAAGAATTTCAGGATCAGTGGGATGCAGTTGGCAAACACCAGGTGCTGGGACACGTACTCAAACTGGGGGAGAGAAGGGAAACGGGTCAGCGTTGGCTGGGACAGCTGGGAGTGGAAACCTCTTCCCAGCCAAAAGCAAAACACTTTGCCCCAGACACCTCAGACCATTCTGTCCCCGAGGTTTGCTGTGTAAGGTCTGTGTCGTGCACAGCAGCTGGAAAATTCCATTTTCCATAGAGAGGACACGCACACTTCACGGCAGTGCTTTGGGAACAGCTTTCATGGCTTTTCAAAATGAAATCTATGGCAAAACATTGTGTGAGGAAGAGGGAAGGAGTTATAGCTATTGCATGAGAAAATACAAGAAATCCTATTGCTCTCACACGCTAATCCCCGTTCTCTTAGAAATTTTGACTGGAACAATATTCCTATTTTCCTGCTTGCTTTTAATTCCTCTCTCCCTCAAAGCATTAAATGGTTTTCAAGGTCCCTTCCAACCCAGACCACTCTACAGCTCAACAACACAACAAATCTCTCCCATCCTCTAAAGACACAAACTGCAGCAAAACCCAGTCCTATCCCTCCTGCCCTTCCCATGCCTCTCCATCCAGATCTCCAGTTTGAGAGGGAAGGAACAGTTTGTTCTCATCCCAGCCTGGTGCCAGCTGTCGGCGTTGGCACACCACAGATGACACAACGCCACAGATGACACAGCAGTGGGATGTGCTGGTGAGTAACCGACCCTTCCAGCCCAAACCATCCTGTGCTTCAGTGATTCCTTCATTTCGGACCTGCTGGAGCTCTCACGGTGCTCCCCGAGACCACCTTGGTCACAGAAAGAACAAAACCACCCAGATCAGACACAAAGAAAAGCAGAATCAGGGGGTTCAGGAGACCCTGCAGCTTTCTCCAGGCTCAGCAGCAGGCTGCAATGGCCCTCCTGCCTGGGGGGAAGAAAGGAGAGGAGCTGCTTTGAAGTGAGAAAAATTAATGAAGGGATGTGGGGGGGGAGCAGAACAAATGTAGGATTGTAAAAATGTGGGAGTTGGTTTCATTTTACCCAATCCAGTACGTGGATTTATATTTATCCTCAGTTAAATATCAGTGGGTTTTGTAATGCAGAGGGATTTGTAGCGTGCTGAAAGCTTTAATAGAAAAAAACCAGAAAACATTAATTGTTTGACTTGCAGAATGAGTGGAAAATTGGGCCACAGCTCATATTAGTCCTTGGGTTTTTTTAACCAAGGAAAGCCCTGGAGTGGGTGCAGTTTGATTGGTGCCATGCAGATGGAACAAAAATCACATTGGGAACAAAAATCACATTGCAACCACGACCCAGATCTCCTGCCTGTGTTGAAACTGGAGCCCCAAGAACCCGATCCTGCCCAAACCAGATTAGGTGACCTCGTGAGGTCCTTCCCAGCACTATTTCTGGGCACTGGAGATGACAGAGCAAAAGAGAGTCTTGCCTAATCGCCTTCCTCTTCCCCCTTCTGCCAGGGAGGCTCGTGCTTTCTCCTAAATTTAACCTGAATGGATATTCCCAGAAGTGTAAAAGCTCCTGCCATGTGAGTAGAAAAGGTGTTGTCAAAGCTCAGCGGGGTGATCCCTGTACAAATCCTGGAGCTATGGAAATGTCATTACACTCCTCATGGAAACTCTTCCCAAAATTCTTCCAGGAGAGGGTTTATCAGGACCTTCAAGCCCAGCTGGGCAACAGCCATCCCTTCCTCTGGGCTCACCTGGTAGATGTGGTTGAGCTTGAAGTGCTTGAGGAGCAGCAGCAGCAGCGCCGAGATGCTCTTGACGATGATCTCCTTGTGCCTGTTCACGTCCATGCCCAGCTTCATGCTCTGCAGGACGGTGATGCTGGGAGGAGGAGAGCAGCACCGTGGCTGGGCCAGCAGGGAGCCCAAGGGGCTGTGCAGCTCTCCTTGTGGGTGAGCTCTACCAAACCAAGCACCTTCTCTCCCCCCAGCACCCCCATTTCCACCCATCCCACCTGGTGATGCCAAAATGTGTTCAAAAAAGAGGAAAAAAAGGTGGATTGCCCTCCACCAGGAATCCTGGTGGAGCAGTAGGGAGGACACCTCCTATGTGCTGCCAAGTCTTTATGATTTGGGTCAATTAGCAGGATTTTATCATTTGTGCCACTTAGCTTGGAGCGGCTGCACTCAGATCACTGCAGCATCACTTCCTTGGCTTTCACAGCTCTGCCCTGGTGCCAACTGCAATTTACACCTACCCAAACAGATACCCCAAATCTGGAGCCCCCCAAGCCTATTGGCTCTCCTGCCTGGCCCAAGACTTGGTGGCCAGGCCGGGATGGCTGGTGGCCCCCTGGTGAGGGACTTACGGCATCTCTTCAGGCAACACATCTGCCAGGATGTTGATGGAGTCAGTCTTGGCCTTGGAGGTGGGTGCAGCAGCCAGGAGGATCTTCAGCAAAGCGATCTGCAGGAGAGGGCAGGTGTGAGGGGATGGTCCAGGAAAGGGAATTCCTTCCTTCTCTTTCACTTGCTGGAAGTGGACAACTCCAAGACAACTCTAGAGGGTTTCATCACACCACACTCAACCTCTGGCAGACAGGACAAGAGTGGGGAGTCAGCAGCTCTGTTTGATCCTTAACCTAAGGCAGAGCCTGAGCTCTGGCAGGGAGGGTAAAACAGCACAAGGAACACACGGAGTTTCAATGCACTTAAATCTCTGTCTGTCCCTACAGAGCCCACATGACCCCATCAGAATCCTCTGAATCCCTCCTTTTGGACTTTCCTCGCAGCTCTGCTCAGGATTCCCACCAAAATCCCACCAGCCGGGTCCTGAACACCCTCCTGTGCTGAGCTCCCAGCCTGGCACCATTCCCTGCTCCAGAGCTCTTCCCTCCTTTTTAGGAACGGGGGCTTACCATGTACTGGGGGAGATTGTACAACATTGCTCGGTACAGCACCTCACAAGGGGTTTCTTGCACTTCCTCTTCCCCCTGGGGCAGAGAGGCATTAAAAACAAGGGGAAATGAAGCAAAAATAAGCATGGATTTACGCTGACACCTTGGAAGCCTCCCACCTTCTCTCTGGTGAAGCAACTTCCTTCTTACCAGAGACATGGGGCACTTCTCCAGCTCCTCCTCGTTCTTGATCTGGACATCCGAGATGGAAACGTACTTGTGCTGCCAAAACACACAGACAGAGGCAGAGCAGTGTCACAGCTGAGGGAGGAAAGGGCCAGCAGTGGGCACAGCAACGTCCCAGTGAGCTGGGCAGGTCACAGCAGAGCCACGGCCACTCGTCCCTGTGTGGGACATCCCTCTGTCCCCTCACACCTCCTGCCTTTGGGTACTTGCACCTGCTCCTTCTAGGAGCTCTCCGTAAGGAATTAGAGGGACAACCACCTCCAAAGGACAACCCAGACCTTGGATGGGGTCAGGTGGCCTCTGGAGGGGTCTCATTCCCTGTGGAGCACTGCAGGAGGTGAGGCTCGCCGTGCTTCCCCCTGGGAACAGCACATTTGGGAATGGATGTCCAAACCCAGCTCTGAAAGTCTGTCTCCTTCAAAACAGGAAACAGGAATGCTACACCTTGGATAAAGGGAAAGTAAAAATCCTGGAGAGGCTTCTTGAGGACTCAGTTTTTAATTTTTTGCCTCAATTCCTGCAAGAAGCTCCAAAAGCTTTTCCTGTGGCTCCCAACTTTTTACTCCCTGCAGTTACTGTGTTTCAGGGAGGGTGGCCAGGAGGATCCACGTGGTGGACATCCCATGTCATGCATGGAGCCACCATCTCACCTGCTTCAGGGTCTTCACACTTTCATGGATGGGCCGTGGGAGCCCTATCAGGGTTTCGGTGTCCCTGGGGGAGAGGAAAGAAGGTCAGTACTGGGAAGGAGATCCATGCTCAAACATTTCCATGTCATAACAGGTAAAAGAGGGAGCCTGGAGTCTGCTGAACGCATCCCAGATGGGTCAGGAACTGGGAGAGGTGTTGGCCTGAGCTGCTGCCCTCCCACCTGCTCCCCATCATGAGACAGGAGACAGCCTGCACAAGACAGGAGAGACATCGGGGTGAAGAACTGGGGTGAAATCAGATTGATTCAGAATTTGGATGAAATCAGATTGATTCAGAATTTGGGCGAAATCAGATGACATCAGAAATAGGGTAGAGCCCAGCACTGCACCTAAAAATGAGAGTACCCTGCTGGGGCTGTCCCAGGATGACTCTGCACCCGCAGCTTGATTTATTCACAAACTGGGTAATTCGCTGTGGATACCAAACTGGCTCAGCTGCCTTTCACATCCAACCAGTTCCTGGCTCGGGCCAGCGGTCACTTATTCTGGGCTAGGTCTGATTTTTAATAGAAAGAGGTCCCTGGGGAGCAGAGTGTCTCCAGGAACATGTTTTTCTAGCACTGCTTTCATTGCTGCAGCTCTGGCAAAGCCAGCCCTGCCTCATCCTGAGCATGTCTTGAGCTGGGAAAACCTGAGCTTTGTGCACACCTCCCACCACTTAACCCCCAGAGCTGGAGGCTACAGGGCAGATTTTGTGGGTGAAACACTCACTGTCCCAGCGTGAATCCGATGAATTTGTTCCTGCTTGCTTCCAGGAAATGGTCGATGTCTTTCTGTCTGATGGAGCAGCGGGGAGACAAAAACAAGGAGAAGGTTGGAAAGCAGCCACAACCACAACCTCAGACTCAATTTCTAGAGACCTCAAGAGCAGCAGGCAAAAGCCACCTTTGCCCTCACTGGCTGGGGAAAACCTAAACCATTTGTATTTGCTTGTAACTCCACGGGAACATGTGAGTAGATGGGGAGGACTTTTCTACAGCCAGCAGCTTTGTATCCACCTCCTGTGCTCCTCACACTCATCTCCAAGGAGCATCTGCTGGTTCTGAGAGAACAAATGTTGTCTCCACGGTCTGTCAGAGCACACGCTGCTCCAACAACAGGCTGACATCTTGTCCACCTTGGGCATCTTTCGTGGGAGCTGCTCGGCAGCTCTGCACTACAAGCAGGACACGAGCTGTGAGCCAAGGCTCTCCTGGACAGAAAGGAATCCAGCTGGATCTCCAGCCAGCAGCCAAGGAAAGCAGCAGCCATTGGATTTCAAAGCTGAGAGTGTTCAGTGACGTGGAGCACCACAGCACCACCATGGAGATCCATGTGGGAAACCAGTTCCTGCTGTGTTTCTGCTAGGAATGCTCTGGACAGACTGACTTAACCCTGCTCCTATCTCAAAAATATCCATTTGCTCCTGTGTTTTAAAGATACTGGATTAAATCCAGGCTTGGGATAAACAGAAAAAAAAAAAAAGCAACAAAACCTCACATGGATCAGAGGGAACGGGGCAGAGGTTTTCACCCTCTTTTCCTACTATTCCCTCATTTCATGTGTGGATAGCTGCCTTAGGAAGGAAAGGCCCCAACTCCTTTATCCTTAGGTGTTTTTCTCTGCCACTAAAAAAGGCTTCACCTGCCAACACAGGGGTCCCACTCACCCAACAAGGTGTCCTTGACCAGCTCCCAAGATGATTAGTCAAGGACTTTGTGCTACCAAGATCCACTCGGACCTGGCTGGGAAAGCTGACCCTGCTCCCACAGCGCCCCAGCACAGCCTCCTTCCCTTTGGGATACCCAAAACTGCATCTCCACTTATTGGCCAATCAGTTGGTTTGCCCATTCATTGGCTTGGGCTGGGTTTAGCTGAGCTCTTCCCCAGAATTTACACACCAAACGTGACAAGTGGCCAATCTGACAAAAAGAGAAGCGGCGCCACTTCAGTTCAACCTCCCAGGGGCCAAAACACTTCCCGAAAAACTGCCACGAACTCCAGGACAGGCCTGGGGAGGGGAACGGTGACACCAGGTGGCTTCACCTGACTTTGGGGGCCCAGGGGAGCCCCTTGGGGAAGGACACCCTCTCGAGGGGCGGGCGCTGGGCCGGCGCGGCGGCGAGGATCGCGTCCCGCTCCAGCAGGTCCAGCTCCCCCTCGAGCCCGCCGTCCACCTCGTCGCTCTCCTCCTCATCAACCCCTCCTTCGTCATTCTTGAAGGGGTCTCTCTCGTTGTAGATATCCAGACTGTCTTGCTTCATCAGGGGCTGCAGCACAAGGGGAAGGAAATGTTCAAGTCACTCCAAGGGTTTTATTTCCCTCTCAGGTGCTGGCAGCAGATCTCTCCATGCTGAAAGGATCACGCTCTCAGATGTTCCTCAGGTAAGGATTTCCCTCCTAGCTGCTGCCACCAAAGCCTGCACAAGAATAACTCCTTCTGTACCTCTAACCTTGCTGCTCTAGGAGGTGTGACCCCGTTTTCCACCTTAACTTTTGGGGCTTCCATCTGACATCTCTTCCTCAGCAAAAGGCATTTCCATCCTCAGAGCACAACACAGCAACTCAAGAGCAGAGCTAAAAAAAGAACTTGCTGTGAGCAGTTTGCTCCCTGGTGCTTATCAGCCCTTTGCCATAAGGTCAGGATGTCCTCTGGCCTCCTCTGGATCAAACACCCCGTGGGGCTGATCTGTTGCAGTTGAAATTGGTGGATGAAAAACTGAACATGCTCCAACCCATGTGCACTGAGAGCCCCAAATCCCCCCAGCATGGGCAGCAGGGCAGGGGGATCCTGCCCCTCTGGAGCTGTGAGAAACCCGATCTAATGGAAGGTGTCATTTGGAACTGGATAATCCTCAAGGTCCCTTCCAACCCAAACAATTCCCTGAGCCTAGAGCTGGAAAACACCGGAGCACTCGGAGGGGAAGGGGAACCACCACCACGAGCACTCCTGGCTCCTCCTGCGGGTGCTGCTGCAAACCCCTGGGCCCCGCAGGGACGGTCCCGCTCTCACCCTGCGGCTGCGGTGGCTCCGCTTCGGCGGCGGCTGCTGCTGCTGCTGCTGCTGCTCCAGCAGCTCGATGGCGTAGGTGGGCGGGGAGGCCGCACGCATCCCCCGCACCACCTGGATGCTGTCCTCGGGCAGGGCCGGCAGCCCCAGCTCCTCCCGCCGCCGCACCTTCATGGCCTGCAGCGCCTCGAACCCGCCCAGCGTGAACTGGGGACACACAGGGCACAGCACGGAGAGCGTGGAGCACACACGGAGCACACACGGAGCACACGGGGAGCACACGGGGAGCACACGGGGAGCACCCAGCCCTCCCGGCAGCTCCCAGCTGGGCCCATCAGCCAGGAGAGCCGAGGTGAGGGCACCACGGCACTGGTTCGTTCTCCACACTCCTCCCCACCCCACGTCCTCAGCCCTCTCATCCCAGAAGGAACTTGTGTCCAGGTTTCCTGTGTCAGCTCCCGGTGCCATCGTGGCACACACGGAGCACCCAGCCTTCCCGGCAGCTCCCAGCTGGAGCCATCAGCCAGGAGAGCCGAGGTGAGGGCACCACGGCACTGGTTCGTTCTCCACACTCCTCCCCACCCCACGTCCTCAGCCCTCTCATCCCAGAAGGAACTTGTGTCCAGGTTTCCTGTGTCAGCTCCCGGTGCCATCGTGGATAACCCCATCGTGGCTGGGCTGAATGGTGGGGACCTCCAGGCTGTTCCAGACTCAAAGTTTGTGCAGCAAGGAAGGGTTTGCACTCACCAGGAGCACCTTCCAGAGCAGGAGCAGGACCTTCTTCATGGGGAAGTGTGGAGCGTGGCCGCTGCAGAACTTGGTGACCATGGTGAAGAGCAGCAGAGCAAAGGGCTCCTCAGAGTGCACGGGGAAACCTGAGGAGAGGGACCAGGGCTGGGCTCAGAGCTGTCCCCCATCCCCGAGCTCTCCCCGCTGGTCCAGCACGACAAAGGGACCTCCACGGGGCACAGTGAACTTTGGGGCTCACTCAGCTCCATCCTGAAGGTCTCCCGGCAGGTTTTCCACTCGGGGGGATCCGTCTCCTGCTCCACACGGATGTTCTCCACCAGCAGGTACATGACACTGAGCAGCACCCTGCCAGCACAGCACAGGGGGCAGGCGTGGGGCCACCGTGTCCCCAGAGGGTGTCCCACCCCCCCAGCACCGGGGGTACCTGAGCTCCGTGCTGTCGGCCAGGGAGATGGCCGGCTTCCTCAGGGCGCTGCTGCAGGCCTGGCTGTTCCTGCAGGAGAGGCAGCAGCTCAGAGCAGCCCCTCCTGCCCAGGCAGACACGGCTGTGGGAACGGCACACGGGGTGTGGGACACGGGACACGGCTGTGGGAACGGCACACGGGGTGTGGGGCACGGGACACGGCTGTGGGAACGGCACACGGGGCACGGCTGTGGGAACGGCACACGGGGCACGGGACATGGCTGTGGGAATGGCACACGGGGGGTGGGACACGGGACACGGCTGTGGGAATGGCACACGGGGGGTGGGACACGGGACACGGCTGTGGCACCTCCCAGGGAGGAGGAGGAGGGATGGGAGAGAGAGCATGAAGAGGAGGGAGAAGAGGGTTGAAGAAGAGTGCCAGGAGGATGGGGTGAAAGAAGATGAAGAGGAGGAGGAGGAGGAAAAAGGGTGAGGACTATAGGGAGAAGGAAGATGAAAAGGAGGAAGGTGAGAAGGATGAGGAGAAAGATGAAGAGGAGGAGCAGGAGGATGAGCAGAAAAAAGATGATGAGAAAAAGGGTGAGGAGGATGAGGAGAAAGAAGATGAAGAGGAAAAGGGTGGGGAGGATGAGGAGAAAAGATGAAAAGGAGGAAGGTGAGAAGATGAGGAGAAAGTGGAGGTAGAAGAGGAAGAGGAGGATGGAAGAAGAAGGTGAGGAAAGTGAGGAGGAAGAAGATGAAGAGGAGGAGAACAAACTGAATGGAAGAAAAGGAGGAGAAAGCAGAGAATCACAGAATTATTTTGGTTGGGAAAGACCTCCAAGGCCATTGAGTCCAGGAAGTGAGGGGTGAGAAGAAAGAATGCAGGGAAGGGGAGGACAGGGAGGGAGAGGTGGGCGAGGGGCAGTCCTCTCACTCAATCTCCATGTTGAGAAGCTCCAGGAAGGCAGAGAAGGTTCCCAGCTGGTACAGGAGGAAGCTGTTGTGCCGAGCCCAGTGCAGGACATCACCTTCATTGTCACAGTCCCCAAAGACACCTGCAGAGGCCCCAGAGAGAAACACAGCTGAGGGAGGGTCTGCCTTTGGACCCTGGAGTCCACAGGACCACCCTAGGCAGGAGCTTCACTGCACCAGCCCCGAGAAAGGCTTCTCCCAAACCCCCACAGCAGCAGATCCGAGGCCACATCTGAGCAGGGGACGTGTCCTTACCCTGTGCCAGGTACAGGATGGCCCGTGCTGCTCGGAGCCTCTTGTCCCTGCTGACCACCTCCAGCCCATCCAGCAGGCGCATGACGTAGGCCTTCTGCTGCGCCCTGTCCAGCTCCAGCCACCTCCTGCCGGGCACTGGGAAGGGACACGAGGCCCCGAGTGACTCCCTGGGGTCCTGCTCGTGTCCCCAGGCAGGGCTGCTCAGCCCAGAGCTGGTACCTTGGGTGTGAAAATCCTCCTCGAAGCATCTCCTGTTGAGGCTCAGCTCCGGCTCCTCGGTGTAGCTGTACAGCTCTGATGGAGACAGGGGCCAGCGGGGACATGGAGGAGCTGCACCCTCCTCCTCGTTCCCAAATCCCTTGGGACAGAGACCCCAACTGCTCCCTGAGCCCTCCTGCAGCTCCAAGGGCACCTTGTGGCCACCAAGGCCACCAAACTCATCCCCTTCATCCCCTGGCTGGGCTGCTCCCAGCTCCTGCTGCAGCTGCAATTTCACTGGGGTTTTTGAGGGGGAATTGGAGTCTCCAGCAGTTTGGGAATGAAGGGAATGCAGGAACACCCAGGCAGGACCTGCCCTGATCCCCCCGCCAGCAGCTCGGACATTTGGGGTCCTGCAAATGGGGGCTGGACCTGGAGGGACACGGTGCTGCACCTGCTCTTTGTCATTGCTGCCTGTTCCACAGAATTCCTGCCTGCTCCTGTAGGATCCCTGCCTGCTCCTGTAGGATCCCTGCCTGCTCCTGTAGGATCCCTGCCTGCTCCTGTAGGATCCCTGCCTGTCCCCACAGAATCCCTACCTGTTCCCACAGAATTCCTGCCTGTTCCCACAGAATTCCTGTAGGCTCCCACAGAATCCCTACCTGTTCCTATAGGATTCCTGCCTGTCCCCACAGAATACCTGCCTGCTCCCACAGAATTCCTGCCTGTTCCCACAGAATTCCTGCCTGCCTGTTCCCACAGGATTCCTGCCTGCCTGTTCCCACAGATTTCCTGTAGGATTCCTGCCTGCTCCTGTAGGATTCCTGCCTGTTCCCACAGAATTCCTGCCTGCCTCTTCCCACATATTTCCTGTAGGATTCCTGCCTGCTCCTGTAGGATTCCTGCCTGCTCCCACAGAATCCCACAGCCCCGAGGGGCTGAGCAGCACGCAGGACTGGAGCGATCCTGCAGGGGAGGAGTGTGGATCCCTCGCAGAGGAAATGTGTTTTTGCCAGGCCAGCTGAGATACACGGAGCTAAAAATAACCCCATTTTCCCCGGACAGCGGGCCGAGGGAGCAGAGGCAGCTGGAGCCGCCACACAGCGGGGACACCGGCGACAAGGACACCCCGACAAAGGGTGCCACCTCCCGCCTGGCTCTGGCACCGGCCTCTCCGCCCCTGCCACCCCCGCGCTGTGCCCGCGTCCCCAGCGAGCGGGTGGCACACACCCCGCTGCTGTCACTGCAGGGACGGCTCCTCTCCGCGTCCATCCCCCATCCCGGCGGGTTTCATCTCCCTGCCTGCCGGGCACCTGCAGATAACCACGCACACCCAAAACCCGCTTCACCTGCCAGCTCGGCGCCGTGGCCGTCCGCATCCCCGTACTCGAACTCCAGGTTGGGACAATCCACGGAGCCCTGCGAGAGCGGGATGGGGTCAGCAGGGGGCTGGCACACCCCCGGGGATATTTTGGGATGCGGGATGGCTGCCAGCGCTCGCAGCCTTTGCGCCAGAGCTGCTCCAGGGATGGGGCTCCGGGCTGGAGCGGGGACTCCGCGCTGAAAGCGCGGCGGAGATGTGGAAGCCGCGGGTAAAAACAGCATTGCTCAAACCCCAGCGAAAGCGAAGGCACGACGCAAAATGCCGGTGAATGTCTGGTGCATTTCAGAGTCCTAAAAACAAGCCCCGGGGCTGGATCCCAGCACAAGCCGGCGGGAGGATGCGGCGGATCCCCGAGCTCGGCAGCGCAGATCTGACAGCTCCCGGGCCGGGCTTCGCCTTCCCCATCTCCCCCTCCTCCCCTGCGGAGGAGGAACTGGAGCATGAAACTTGGCCGGAGGATTCCGGCGGGGCAGCGAGCAGGCAGACGAGCCAAGGCCGGCACCGCGCCGCCCTGCCCCGGTGAGGGAGCACGTGAGCGGGCAATCAACGCAATTAACACCATTCCCCGCGCCGAGTCCCGGCGGCCCCCCTCGGCAGCCGGGCTGGAGCCGATGTGCATCGGGCGATGGATGTGGATGAGGCAGGAGGACGCGCGGCTCCGGGACGCCCAGGAGCGCTCGTTCCTCGCCTCATTCCTGCAGCCCGGCCCGGGCTCCTAAAGCCGGGCAGGAATTCGGCCAAGCGCGTGCAGCCCTAATCCAGGGGGAAAAGCAAATCCCAAACTCACGAGCTGGGGGCACGGCTTGGACGCCGTTCCCAGGGACCCCTCTGGGGTTTGGGAGCCCCAGGGGTGGCTGGACGGTGGCCGGGGACATCGGATCCCGGTCCTGCTTCCCCAGCATGGCGCTCACGAAGCCGCAGCTGGGGCAGGGCAGCCCAGCGGGGCTTGGTGGTTCCCCCGTGCCCCGGGGTTATCGGGGCAGGAGGGGACAGCAGCACCGGCCCTTGATGAGGGGCAAAGGGGAGCCTGCAGAGTGTGGGGGAGCCCAGGGCCCAGGTGGGACCCCAAAACTCTGCAGCGGGCTCTGGGCGTGGGGCTGGGAGCTGGCAGTGCCGGGGCTGAGCCAGCCCCCCAAAACTCTGCAGCTGGGTGTGTGCGCGGAGCGGGGAGCTGGCAGTGCCGGGGCTGAGCCAGCCCCCCAAAACTCTGCAGCTGGGTGTGTGCGCGGAGCGGGGAGCTGGCAGTGCCGGGGCTGAGCCAGCCCCCCAAAACTCTGCAGCTGGGTGTGTGCGCGGAGCGGGGAGCTGGCACCGGGGACTCCCGCTCCGGGCTGGGCATCGCAGGACGCTGAAGCCACCCCAGCCAAGAGCCCAGTTTGGGGCAGGGAGCACCCCCCAGACCCGGAGCTCCCCCAGTCCTGGATAAAGCTCCTTCCGCAGGAGCCCGAGCCCCGGGGCAGGGACCCCTGCCCCACAGCCGGTCCCGGGGGGTGCCGGCACCGAGCTCCGCGCTCTTACCTCGGACTCCTTGCGCTGGCTCCTGAAGAGCTCCCGGCCCTTGGGCTGTGCCTGTGGCTGTGTTTGTGGCTGTGGCTGTGTCTGGGGCTGTCCCGGGCGGGCCCGGGCCGGGCCCGGGGCTCCGCCGCCTCCCGCCGCCTCCATCCCGCGGCCGCCGCCAGCACGTGGGGGCCGCGCCCGGCCCCGCCCCGCCCCGCCCATTGGTCCGCCGGGACCGGGGGCGTGGCCTCGGGACACACCCCCGCATCGCCATTGGTCCGGAGCGGGATGGGGCGGGGCCGGGTAACGGCGGAGGGAGCCGGGGAACCCGGGGGTCCCTGGGATGGGGGGCTGGGGACACGGGGGGTGTCCTTGGGATTCTGGGGACACAGGGGGGGTCCTTGGGATTCTGGGGACACAGGGGGTGTCCTTGGGATTCTGGGGACACGGGGGGTGTCCTTGGGATTCTGGGGACACAGGGGGGGTCCTTGGGATTCTGGGGACACAGGGGGGTCCCTGGGGGCTGGGGACACAGGGGGTGTCCTTGGGATTCTGGGGACACAGGGGGGTCCCTGGGGCGGTGGGAACAGGGAATGCTGGGGAAGAGGTTTACAGGATGTCCCCGGGGTGCTGGGACCAGGGAGTGCCGCGGAGTTATGGGGTGTCCCTGGGGTGCTAGAGAAGGGGGTGCTGGGGAAAGGAGGATTTTAGGGTGTCCCTGGGGTGCTGGAGAAGGGGTTTACAGGATGTCCCCGGGGTGCTGGGAGCAGGGGGTGCTGGGGAAGGAGGATTTTAGGGTGTCCCTGGGGTGCTGGGAGTACCGGACGCTGCCGCGGGGCTGTGGGGTGTCCCCGCAGCCCTGACCGGGGCAGCGGCGCAGCAGCCGGGGGTGTCACAGGGGTAACGGGGGGTGGCCATGGAGGGGCCGGGGGCACCTGTGGGGCCCAGTTTGGGGCAGGCAGCTCCCGGGGCCCCGGAGCAGGGTTTCCATTCCCGCATCCATTAAAGGGGGGGGCGGTTGTTTTTGGGGTGACTCTGCAGGTCTGGGGAGGTACCGGGTGCCCCTCACAGCCTCTGCAGGGCTGGGGACCCCAAGGGTTGGGGCGGAATGTCCCTGGGCTGCCGCGCGGGGCTCTGCCCGGCAGGGCGGGAGCGGAGCCGGTGACGGCACCGGGATCGCTCCGGAGCCGGTAACGGCACCGGGATCGCTCCCGAGGCGGTAACGGCACCGGGATCGCTCCCGAGGCGGTGACGGCACCGGGATCGCTCCGGAGCCGGTAACGGGATCGCTCCGGAGCCGGTAACGGCGCCGGGATCGCTCCCCCACCGCCCCAAGGACACCCAGCCCAAACCCCCCCGCTGCCCCAAGGCCCCGGAGCCGCTCCCCAGCTGGAACCCTCTGGAAGCAGCAGCAGCTCAGGGCACAGCCCCCACCCCACCCCAGCCCCCATCCCTGCTTGTCCCCCGCCCCAAAATCCCGGCTGACCCCAAGGAGGCTCGGGAGAGGCTGAGCTTTCCAATGTTTTATTTGTGGTTTGAGATTACAGAGTCTTTATTGCTGATCTAATACAATCACTCAGACATTAATATTTAAAACATCCTTCTGAAATGTTACGCTTGCGACGTTTTCGTTTCCTCGCTGCTGATGACGAGTTTTGTCTTATTATTATCTCTAAAGTTCAGAACAAAATTAATTTCCTTTATGCGATTTTGCTGGTGTTACCTAAAATCTCCTTTTTCCTAAGTCTTGAAAAATGTGTTACATTAAAAAAAAAAAAAAGAAAGAAACCAAACCCCATTACACGTTTAATTTAGAGATGATCATAGATATGATTCCAGGTTGATTAGGAAAAAAGCCAAGCGAGCCAAAAAGCTTTTACAGGAGAAGCAGAACATGGAGAAGAGCTTTAAAAATCGAGGTGGGAAAAGCCAGTTAGGGTTTCAGTAGTAATATATATATTTTTTTTTTTATTTTTCCCTTCCTATCTACCTGGAAGATAAAAGGGGGATAAAACTGGGCACGAAGGGATCGGGGTTTCAGTAGTAATATATATATATTTCTTTTATTTTTCCCTTCCTATCTACCTGGAAGATAAAAGGGGGATAAAACTGGGTACGAAGGGATCTGGGGCTGTGCAGAGCAGGCACAGGGTGGGACACGGCTCTGGAGATGAGGGGGGTGGGGATGAAGGGGCTTTTCCAGGGGGAAGTGGCTGTGCTTGGGTTGGGATGGGATTCCTGCTCTCCCAGAGCTGCCCCAGGGACCCGGGCCAGGAGCAGCTCCAGGGAACAGCAGGGCTCACACAGAGCAGGCTCTAGCTCGGGCACAAAGACCTGGCTGTGATGTTCCAAAGAGCTCAGGGGATTCTTCCCAAAAATTCTCAGGACCTGGGTAAAATGAAGGAGCAGAGATCATTTCAAGTCTGTGGTCAGAGATCAGTCTGCTGGGAGCTTCTCAGAGCCTGAAGGTCTCCTCAAGGCCTTCTGAAAGCTCTGACGCCTTCCCAAGGACTCGTCAAGGTTTCCTCCAGCTCTTCTCAAGGTTTTCCTTCCTGATTTTGAGAGAAATTTGGAATAAGCTGGCACATGGGAACGTTTGCTCTGGAGATGAGCGACCTGTGGCCAACCTGCCTCCAAATCTCCAGAGAGCCGTGGGAAGGACTTGAGGCCACAATTCCTATTTTCCTTTCCTTGTGCGTGAACGAGCTGCCACAAAAAAAGTTCTCCAAGATGGCAAAGAAGCCCCGGAGGACAAAACACAGATCTGCAGCCGGTGAGAGACTCGGGAAGCAGCAGGGAGGAGAGAGGCTCCTGTGCAGGGGCTGGGCAGTTTTATTTCTGAAGGATCACGTTGTCCACGTCAGGGACAGAAGTGGCTGCTCAGCCACTTGGGAAGTCACCTTGCTAAGGGTCACGCTGGCCTGTGCTCAGGTGGGACATCCTGGGATAAAACAAGGAACTCTGGCAAATTTATTCTCCACCAGCTCTGACACGTCGAGGTGACCACAGGGCTTTGGCGACTCTGAGCTCTCCCCTGGCACAGAACCCGTGGGGGTCGCTCCGGCGCACGTCTCACACATCCCGAAGGGGAATTCCAGATTCATACAGGCATGACCAGAAAACAAAACCGAACGTTTCCAATGAGGACTGAAATTCAGCTGGAGAAGGAGCCGGGTCCCCCCAGCCGGGCGCCCGGCGTGGCAGCGCCGCCGGGCGCGGCAGCAGCAGCGGTGCCGAGGCGGGGCTGCCCCGGCCCCGCCACGAACACGACTTTGGTTGATCCAGAGAGGTTGGCACTGGCAAGGACAGCAGCAGGAAAGCGCCGCGGGGCCGGGCCGGGCAGCGCCGGCTCCTCTGCGCTCGGGGCTCTCCCTGGGCACGGCTCCGGGCAGGGCTAAGGCGAGGTTCCCCGGCTGGGCACGGCCCCGGGCTCTTCCAGGGCACACGGAGAGGCTTCTCCAGCCAGATTCCCGAGCCAAGGAGGATCTTGGCTCCGGTGTCAAACCGCGGCAGATTCCCCGGCTGCGGCACCGGGCTGGGGCGTGGAGGAACCCAAAGGTGCCCCCAGGCCGGGCCCCGCCGTGTGCAGGGTGAGCAGGGATGAGGGACTATTCCACTATTCCACAATTCCAGCAGCTTCCTCCTCGCCTTCCCCGTCCTCCCAGCCCCGGAAAAGAACGAACCCAAAGAGAAAAATGAAAGGAACGGAAAGAAAATCCAGCGTCTCCCAGTCCCGCGGCAGGACGAACACCAGTGGCAGAGGCCACGTGAACAGTATCCTAATTTAATAAATAAATAACCTAAAACACACTGTCGACTATGGCAGCAAGCCCGGCTCTAGCGGGGGAAGCTTGCGCGGTTTCATCCTGTACAGTAGTTGAGAAGGACTCGGGTGTCGGGGCGGTTCCTCCAGGAACTCAGTATCTGGGAAAAGATGGAAAAACGGGGATTTGGTGAGCGGGGAAGGGATGAGAAACTGCCCCAGAATCACCAGGGTGGATTTTGGGAGGGGGAGACGCCAAGGGCAGAAATGGCTGAGGAAGGGACTCGGTCCTCGCTGCCTCCAGGGTGTCCAGGGAGGTTGGAGGGGTCGTGGCTGCCCCTCAGGGCAGGGAATTCCCCGAGACCCTCAAAGGATCCCGACATCCCCAGGACAAACCTCGCTCCCACAAGGCTGGGCCATGCCAGGCACCAAACCGGGCACAGAGAACTGAACCAGAGGGAATTCCTCCACAGCCACAGGGAAGCACCAGAGTTTTGCAAGGAAAACAGCTCAGGATCTGGGAAAACCCAGTGATCCCCAAACTGGGAGCGTTCTGGTGCTCTCTGCCTGCCAAGAAAATCCCTCTTCCTGCAGGAAAAGGATCTGGGCTTCCCCCTGCCAAGCAGATCCACTTTTGTGCAAAGCCATTCCATTTTCACAGTGGAAATCCATGGCAGTGCTGGCTAAAAATGTGGAAAGGGAAGCGATCCAGGGCTCCTAGTGAAAATTATTATAATTTTGGGGATCTGCCCAGCCCGTGCTTCGGAAGGAGCCGTGGAGCTGAGCCTCTGGGAGCCGGGCCCAAGGCTGCTCTGTGCCACCTCATCCTCTGTCAAACTTTAAAAATAAAGCTGCCACTGAGCCGGTGGCACCGCGCTGGCATCTGCCACGTCTGGGTGACAGCTGCTGCCACGCACAAAGGGCCCCTGTCCTGCCAAGAGCTCCTGACACGGCTCCAAGAGCGCCTTCCCCTCCTGCTGCCTGCACGGGACCCAGCAGAGCCCCTGGAGACCCGCGGGGCTAAACCCTGTCCCCTCTGCCCCCAGGGGTGTCCCCAGCCGGGGCAGGAGCACAGGGCTGGGGGGGACCGGGGAGAGGAGAGAGCAGGGAGGGACAGGGAGGGGACAGGGCTGGGGGGGCACCAGGAGGGGACAGGGCTGCAGGGACAGGGAGGGGACAGGGCTGGGAGGGACAGGGAGGGGACAGGGCTGGGGGGGACAGGGAGGAGACAGGGCTGGGGGGGACAGGGAGGGGACAGGGCTGGGAGGGACAGGGAGGGGACAGGGCTGGGAGGACACTGGGAAGGGGCAGGGATGGGAGAGGACAGAGCTGGAGGGCACTGGGAAGAGGAGAAGGCGGGGAGGGACAGGGAGGGGACACGACTGGGAGGGGCAGAGGGCTGGGAGGACATCAGGAGGGGGAGAAGGCTGGGAGAGGACCAGGAGGGGACACGACTGGGAGGACATCGGGAGGAGGAGAAGGCTGGGAGGGACAGGGAAGGGACAGGGCTGGGAGAGGACCAGGAAGGGACAGAGCTGGGAGAGCACTGGGAGCAGCAGAGGGCTGGGAGGGCTCTGGGAGGGGACCGGGAGGAGGAGAAGGCTGGGAGGGACAGGGAGGAGAGAGGGCTGGGAAGGCACCAGGAGGGCACCATGAGCAGCAGAGGGCAGGGAGGGCACCGGGACGGGACAGGACTGGAAGGGCACCCAGAGGAGAAGGCTGGGAGGGACAGGGAGGGGACAGGGCTGCAGGGACAGGGAGGGGACAGGGCTGCAGGGACAGGGCTGGAGGGCACCAGGAGGGGACAGGGTTGCAGGGACAGGGAGGGGACAGGGCTGCAGGGCACCTGTAGTAGTTGGGTTTGAAGGGTCCATTCTTGTTGAGCCCCAGGTACTTGGCCTGCTCGTCCGTCAGCTCTGTCAGGTGCGCGTCGAAGGTGGGCAGGTGCAGGCTGGCCACGTACTCGTCTGGGACAGGGGACACGAGGCCAGCCCTCGTCACAGCAGGGAAGGGAGGCCACCACCGAGCCCCGGGATGAGGCACAACCCACCTGGCAGCTCTGGGAGGTGACACCTCACCCCAGGATCAGGACAGGCCAGCCCCGCCTCAAAATCCCCAATTCCCACCAAAACCCCCAAAGTGTGCCCAGGGTGGCCCGGTGGCACCTCCCAGCTGTGACAGTGACCCAGCCTGGCCCAGGGCCACTCCCCAGCTGTGACAGTGACCCAGCCTGGCCCGGTGGCACCCCCCAGCCGTGCCAGCCCACGAGCAGAAGGCAGGGGACTGCTGTTACCCATTTTTTTAGGCAGCAAGTACACGTCCTGCTTGTAGCGGCCCTCGGGGGCGTTGTAGAGCTCTATCAGAGCCAGGGCCTGCGGAGAGGACACGGGGTCAGGGGCTGCTGCCCCTCAGGGCAGGGCCTGCCCCCAGCAGCCCAAGCCCCTCACCTGGGTGGTGGCCGTGATGGACAGGACAAAGGTGGGCACGGTGGAGCAGCTCAGGTTCAGCAGGCGGCCCTGGGAAGCAGAACCTGGATGTTAACAGGCACCAAACCCAGGCTGGCACCCCACAGGAGGGACAGGAGCAATGTGTCCCTGCTGTGTCACCTGCACCCAGCCCCGAGGTGTGGCTGCCCTCAGGAAGTGGAAATCTCCCTGTGGGAGATCCCTGGAGTGGGATGAATTAAAACAGGGGAGTTTTCCTTCATGCCAGGAACTCAGGGGGAGGCTGTGCTCCAGGGAACAGGGACAGGGGAGAGGGAACGGCCTCAGGCTGGGCCTGGGCAGCTCGGGGGGGATTTTGGGGAAAATTTCTCCACGGAAAGGTTGTCAGGCATTGGAATGAGCATTGGAATCCCATCCCTGGAGGGGTTTAACAGCCCTGTGGCTGTGACACTTGGGGACGTGGTGGCTTTGGCAGGGCTGGGAATGGTTGGACTTGATGGACCCAGAGGTGTTTTCCAGCCTAAATCACTGTGATTCCACCATTCCCCGAGGCCAATCCCACATGCAGACCCCTCAGTGCAGCTGCCCCCTCACCTCTGCCAGCAGCACGATCCTCTTCCCGTCGGGCCAGATGACGTGATCCACCTGGGACCTGACGCGCTCCCAGGTCAGCTCGGGCGTGCGCAGGCTGGCCTGGGACAGGGAATGTCACAGCAGGGCTGGGCTGAGCCCCGGAGCGGGCAGCACCCCTGGCAGTGCCCTGGCACCGTCCCCTCGGAGCCCAGCCCAGCCCGGGGGCACCGCTGTGGCTGCAGGCTGAACTGTGCCTGGGGGCTCACGCATCAGAGCTCCAGCAGGAGCTGCTGAGGGGGTCCAGCATCACCCCAGAGAGTACTCAGAGCACAGCCACCCCAAAGCACCATCACCCCAAAGCACCATCACCCCAAAGAGTCCTCAGAGCACAGCCACCCCAAAACACCATCACCCCAAAGAGTCAAAGCACAGCCATCCACCCCAAAGAGCACTGCCCCAAAGCACCATCACCCCAAAACACCATCACCCCAAAGCACCATCACCCCAAAGCACTGTCAGCCCAAAATTCCATCACCCCAAACAGTCAAAAAGCACAGCCACCCCAAACAGCACTGCCCCAAAGCACAGCCACCCCAAACAGTCAAAGCACAGCGACCCCAAACAGCACTGCCCCAAAGCACCATCATCCCAAAACACCATCACCCTAAAGCACTGTCAGCCCAGAACACCATTACCCCAAAGCACCTGACCCTAAAAGAGTTGCCCCAAAGAACCATGACCCTAAAACACTGTAACCCCAAACACCATCACCCCAAGTCACCCCAAACACCATTCAGCCCAAAACATCATTGTCCTAAAATATCAGTACCCTGAACACTGTCACCCCAAAGCATCACCACCCCAAAACATGTAACCCCAAAGCACCACCATCCCAAACACAGTCACCCCAAAACATCATCATCCCAAACAACACTGCCAAAAGCACCATCACCTCAAAACATGTAACCCCAAAGCACCACCACCCCAAAACATGTAACCCCAAAACATCATCATCCCAAACACCACTCCCCAAAAGCACCATCACCCCAAACCACCATTACCCCAAAACATCACCACCCCAAACACAGTCACCCCAAACCACTGTAACCCCAAAGCATCACCACCCCAAAACATGTAACCCCAAAGCACCACCACCCCAAACAGTCACCCCAAAACATCATCATCCCAAACACCACTGCCCAAAAGCACCAGCACCCCAAACACAATCACCCCAAAGCACCACCACCCCAAAACATGTAACCCCAAAGCACCACCACCCCAAAGCACCAGCACCCCAAAACATGTAACCCCAAAGAACCAGCACCCCAAAACACTGTAACCCCAAATCACCACCACTCTAAAACACAGTCACCTCAAAGCACCATCACTGCAAACCCCATCCCTCCAACCCCATCCCCCAAACCCCATCCCCCCAAAC